AGCAGGTATATACAAAAGTATGAAGGCTATTGCTTAACGCACTGTAAGCCGCCCGGAGTCTTCGGAGAAGGGCGGCATATAAATCGAACCAATACATAAATAAATGTTGATTTTGACAATTCTGTTTTATCATTTTGTTTTTTACAATTTCTATTAAAGAAGCTTTCAACAGAATAAAAGCAGGGCAAATTTTAAGTTGAAAATAATAAGTTGAACATTTTTTTTAAAAAAATCTTTCTATCGTTTTGTGAAGTTGAATCCAACATTTTCTGGCTTTTCTACAAGTATGCCGGGCATGATAAAACGACTCATCCCATTTTTAACATAAATTTTATTTATGTTGCCCATCTAGTCTTCTGGGGCTGCTTTCTAATTGAGGTCTGAAGTACATTTAATACTTTATAATTTTTCTGGAATCTTATACCAATGGTACATCATCTTATAAACATTCTCTTTTAGGTTATAACATAATGTAAGTTTCAGTCCTTTAACCACATATTTTCCCACGGTGTCATCAATATGTGTTATGTCCAAAATCCTTAGCCCATATTATACAGCCTTTCATTTGTTGTTCTTCTATTTCAATAAATTTCAATTAAATTTATACATTTTAACCACTGCATGTTCATTATTTGTACATCATTCAACTTCAAATTTTGTCTTCTGCTTCTTAATTACAAATGTCCTATTATCTTCCTTAAATCTTTCTCTTAATTGTACATAGGAAAACCATTGAAAATTAAATCCCCCTGCAACTAGTTGTTCTTTTGATTTTATCTTATATTTTCTATACTCTTGTTCTAACAACTCTTGATAAGTTAACCATTTCTATTTATCTGTTGTTTCTTTTCCATAAAATGCTTCTTGAGACCCATCAAGGTATTTTGGGGTACAGTCTGGTTTTTTTTATCTATTTTCTCAATATGGCAATAATAGACCTCAATAATAGAACGCTACTTCAGTAAGTGGGTTTATATGTAGATTGTTTTGGTTGACTTCTTGCAATGATTACTGAAAATAATGCAAGATAAATGTTTAGTAGCATTACTTTGTATATCAACTTCCCTTATCTCCAATATTCAGTTAGTAGAGAACAAATAGATAAAGTCGATATGCTCCTTAATTTCTGAATCACCTGTTTGGATAGCAATACCATTTTACATCCAGCTGCAATTTAATTTTACATCCAGCTGCAATTTAATGGCAGATCAGTAGCAGTTGGGGAAAAGTAAGACATACAGGCAGGTAAATTTTCAAAGAAGAATCCAAAACAGAGGACTAGAGGTATGTAAAACCTTATATGGGAGATGGGTGGCATAAAAAAGCTAATAAATATATAAAAATAAAATAAAACATGTTGAATTCAAAACATCTCTTTTGAGTTTGAAAAGTTGTTTCGGATTTGAAATGGGTTGCTTAGACCTTCCCAGGTATTGCAATGCTCAGGCCAGTCTGGGTTAAAACTTCTGTTTTGAATCTGTATCAGGTGTTTCAAGTTTGGAACAGGATTGTTTTGATTTTGAACCATTTGCAGAATAGCCAGAACACCTGTTTCAAACTCTATAAATGCAGTTCTTCAAACTTCAAATGTTGAATGCAAAAAAACATTCTGCATATTACTATTTATTTTCAACATCCTGCATTCTTCATGTAACATGCCATGTAAATCCTCCTTGAGTGATTTTGGGGGGGGGGGTAACTTTCCAGTAACTTTCTCATGCCAGTTGAAGCAGCATAATCATGCATGCTGGAAACAAAATGCTATCTGTGCAAAAAAAATTGGCTCTTTAAACCTTTGATGTATCACCACTATATCAGGCCAATGATCTTGCTAAAACCAAGGACTAACAGCAGCCTCTTCCATAGCAGCTGTTGGCAACCTCTCGGATGTATTTTATGGTTCCAAAAACCCAAATGGATGGAGCAGGGATAGAAAATCATACTTTAAAAAGTAGTTAGGCTTATTCACGGCTAGGTACCATGTGGGTTGTTGCTATTTCTCACTTCAACAAATCTTATAGGATGGTTATCATGGGAAAAAAATGAGATGGAAGTGTTCTGTCCCTGTCCCACACACGCACCCCCACAGACGGCCCGGAGTTAATAAACCACACGACAAAGTCTTTGAAGATAAAGCTGGCAGCAACCCAGTGGCTAGCTGCCAATTCAGACTTTACTCACACAAAACAAATATTAGACTGCAAGCATTCTGATAAAGCAGGCAAAGTTTCAGCAATACAAGGATTAGTCCAAATGCAGTCCGACAAGGCAGGCAGAAGTCCAGTAACGCAGAGATCATGGATTATTTCCAGTTTTTGCTCGTCACAAACTGAACTGGCCACCACACCCACATTTATACCCTGTGGGGTGTGGTCCAGTGACTCAGCTAATCTCTGGCACGCCTTCCCCTCTGCTGCGCATGCTTCTCCCTGCGCCGCTGTCGAGGATCCAGCCAGCACTTATCTCCTTCGTCGCTGTCCACCTGTGGCTGCGGGGACATGCTTGGCTCTGGGCCTATCTCTTGGCCTTCTGTGTCCTCTGGAGGCATTGCCAGAGAGGAGGGTCCTGGAGAGGGAGGCCTTGCCAACTCCTCTCCCTCACTCTCAGAGTCTGCATCTGTCGATAGCCCAGGCTCAGGCAACGGAGCCACAACAGGAAGCAGAGGTGGTATTTAGCTGGTTTGGACTGGTTTGCCCGAACTGATAGTGGAAATCGCAGCTCTTAATCCTTAAGGTAACTAATTCACTATGACTCACTATCTGTAACAGCACAGGGTCCACCGAAGCAGAGGGATCTTTGTAAACAAGCCTACAGCAACTGTGGGCTGGCAGGTTGCATCTCACTGTAATTTGAAGACGATGCAGTCAGCTCAGAACAAACAGTGGATGGCTGTTTGTGAGCCAGACAAGCCACTCATCATTTTCACCTATGGGAAAATGTCTTTCTGTTGGATCATACAGGTGTTTGTAACTAAATGTCATTAGATTTTAAAAGGGGGGAAAAACTTAATAGCCTATATTTTTGCATTCCCTTAGCATGACTAATAAATAAACTCTTGATTCCTTCATTCGTAGTACCAACAACTGTCAACCCTAATGTTAATGACTCTCAACAGCCACATTGGTGGGTCTTATTTGATAAAGGACATTAAAGAGAGTGGGCCCCAGGCACAGTGCCCAGTTGTTGGTAGATGTTGAGGGTTTGGATCTGGCTCGGTGATAAGTTCAAAGGCTTTCCTGAACAGATTATACAAAACCGTTCATGGTGCCAGTCTGCAGGCCCCTTTCCCCCACTTTTCTCTGCCCCACCTTTTCTTGCTTGTGAATAACTACATTCAACGCTGAAGTCTTTGGCCAAACTTTGTGCATTTTGAGTAAAGAGTTTTCTTTACTCAACTCAATAGTCGCAATTTGTATGTCACCATTTTGCTAAAAGCCCTGGTTTAAGTTCTTGGAGAACCCTGGAATTACCATATCAGTCGCTGGTTATTGTGCCTGGTACTGTTCACTTTCGGAAGAAACAATTCTGATGTTTTCCTGTTGGTCACCTTCGTCCTGTTGCATTGTTGTTCAATGCATTTTGTAGACATACCTCTGTTCCTTATTTATGTAAGGGTTTACGTTTCATTTATTTTTTAAAGATTACAACCGAAGAGGGTTTCCCCCACCCCCCCCTTTTTGAAGGGTTTTAGCGAAATAGTTCAATTCAGATCCCATGAACTAATGTTTAGAAGTGGGGAGGGAGGGGGGAAGGTGCTTAGCTGGAGTAGAGAAAATCTTTTCACAGCAGTCAAGATTATCTTAGTACAGTTGCTGGCTTAGTGCCCAACACTGACCTCTGAAATGCAAGACAAGGTGCCTGGCATTTGCATCTCTGAACTCCCCACCCCCTTTTATTTTTCCTGGTTTAATAAAATATACAAACAAACGTTTGCTTGTTTAATGGCTCTTTTCCACAGTTACAGTTATTTTGTGTTTGGGGAGTCTGCACTAAGGGAGGCTCATCCAATCTCATTGTACATGTGTTGTGCATTGACAATAAAGGTTTGAATTGAATTGAAGTTACACTGATGTGTTTAGTTTCTGCCCTTGAGGAAGCGGAAAAGTATGCTGACATACCACTGCCATACCTGTGCCCAATTTTGCATCTCATTCAGGTGTCCTGTCAGCCATTCTTTCCTTCTTGCATTTCCAGGGAGCACCCAGTACAGGTTAGTGTCAGTGATGGCAATTGGGATCGGAATTTCCGTTGCTAAACAACACAGTCATAAGATGTGGCATCATGTGATCATCTCACTCGATGTAAATTGCTGCCATTAAGCAAATCAGCGCAGGTGATTTCATGAAGTGAGGATGGCGTGTGGCTGCCATTTGTGACTTCTTGCTGGCTTCCCCATTGACTTGGCTTGTAGGAAGCTGAGAAAGTCACAAATGGGGGATCGTGTGACCATAGTATATGTCACAATTGTGAGCCAGGTGCTAAGAAACTGGATTGAGATCATGTGACCAAGGGAGCAGAGCAAGCAACGTTAGTATGAGTATCAGTCATAACTGCCACTTTAACACTGTTGTAAGTTTGAATGGTCACTGAATGAGTGGTGATTAAATGAGGATCACCTGTAAATGAATACTGAGCTGCAGTAAGTAGAAGTATACTTAGGTTCAGGGTTCAAGAATTGAGGTTGGTACCCCAGCCTCTATGAGGCAGATGGATTCTGATCTATAAGGTGGGACTTACACATACGTAATGTTCATGCTGCATTTTTGATATATATCAGCAATCTAATCCACAATCTGCAAAAATGGAAACATGTACAGAATGTAAATGCTTGTATAGAGGTAGTCCTCGATCTACGATCACCGTTGAGCCCAAAATTTCTGTTGTTAAGTGAGACATTTGTCAAGGGAGTACTGTATATAGCAATAATTTGGCAGTGTCTTCACTTTTTTGAATGTAGGCCAAATTCTCTTCCCTTCATGCTGTCTTTTGTTCCCTTCTAGAGTTCTCGAACTGCTCGATCTGAAGAGGACCGAGATAGTCTCTGGGATGCCTGGGGCTCCTGGAGTGAATGTTCCCGTACTTGTGGTGGAGGCGCTTCGTACTCCTTGAGACGTTGCTTAAGCAGCAAGTAAGTAGTTAAAACATTTTTTGAACCTGCGTACTGTAAGATGTATCTTGCAGTGGAAAAGAACTTGCTGAAACTCAGAAGATGGTATTTTTTTCAGCAACTAATCCAGCAAGTTGGATCACTTCACCCACAATTATATAATGCATTAAAAATGTGCAGGGCAGGGCAATAAAGACTTCTATACACAGCATTTTTATTTTTTATTTTTTATTTGATTTATATGCCGCCCTTCTCCGGAGACTCAGGGCGGCTTACAATGTGTTAAGCAATAGCCTTCATACTTTTGTATATTTATGCAAAGTCAGCTTATTGCCCCTACAAACTGGGGCCTCAATTTACCTACCTTAGAAAGGATGGAAGGCTGAGTCAACCTTGAACCTGGTGGGATTCGAACTTACAGTAATTGCAGACAGCTGGTGTTAATCACAATGCTATCAGTCTGCTGAGCCACCAGGCCCAGTGATTGTAAACCATCTAGCCGCCCTGAGTCTTCAGAGAGGGGCGGCATACAAATTGAATTAATAAAATAAAATAAATCTCCCATCCAAAATGATAATCTTCTCCACTTGTGCTAAATTTGAGCTAAACTTCCCTTTTTTTGCACCCTGAATTATTTTGTCAGCTGGGGGGTCTAATATCAAAAGAGATTAAATGTCAGGGTTGTCAAACTCGCATCATCACATCATCGTCACGTGAAGTATCGCAACTTTTTTCCCCTTCACTAAACTGGTGGTAGGCGTGGGCACTGCGTGATGCATCCGGCCCATGGGCCACGAGTTTGACACTCCTGTTATAGGTAGTCCTTGACTTACAACCACAACTGGGACCACAATTTCCACTGCTCAATAAGGTGGTTGTTAAGCCAGTCATACCTGATTCTACAGCCTTTTTTTTTTTTTTTTTTGCAACGGCTGTTAAATTAATCACTGCAGTTGTTAAGTGAATCATGTGGTCATTAAGCAAATCCACTCCCCCCCCTCCAAGTTTGGTTGTTGGAAGCTAGTTGGTGATCACATGACCCCAGGACATTGCAATCGTCGTAAATGCATGCCAGTTATGAAGCACACAAATTGTGATCATGTAAGCATAGAGATGCTGCAACCGTCATAAGTGCAAAGATCAGTCACTTTTTTCAGTGGTGAACGAATGGTTGTAAGTTGAGGAATTCCTATATTGCATTTGTGTATTTTCCTCCAGGTATCTAACCATTAATGTCTGCAAGTTCATATTTTCAATGATCTACGAAGTTCCATTTTTACAAATGGGTTTCCTTCCGTTACAAAGCACAGCCAGGATAAAACGAGGAAGTAATGAATAGCTGCCGCGTGTTGGGTTGAGATGATTATTAAATGTTTCCTCCCTAAAATTTGGGCAGAAGTTAGTGGGTTAATGGAGCAAAAGGGAAGAACCAAACTGAAACTCCTACAGACAGATCCTAGAGGTATCTCTGAATGCCCAGAGTTTGGTGATGTCTAAACCAAATTAAATAAATAAAATGACAGCTAATGCTAATTAAAACTAGCTTGTAACCCATTCTTCCATACCTCTCATGTTCTATCCATATTCCTATCTTATACATCTTGTTGGGTGCAATATGCTGATTCTGTAAACCGCTTAGAGAGAGCTGTAAAGCAGTATATAAGTCTGAGTGCTATTGCTATCTTCTCTTATCATAACATGTTGTTGCAGAGATGAAAAAAATCCTCGCATTTGGCCAAGTAATCCTAACCACTGGCTTGCATAGCGAAAACAATGTTTTTAGCCAGAAACTTGTATTTACAGGGGGGGGGGGGGAATCAGGAAAGGGTAAAAAAAACATGTTGTTGAAATGCAACCTTACAAGCTAATTTTCTCATTCTTAAAAAGAAATAATAAATAAAAAGATTGTTTTTTTAAAAATAAGCAATGGACAACATTACTGTAGAAAAATTGTTTCCTGATTCTGAAATGGATAGCTAAATAATTAAATCTGTACTGATGTGATGGTTCTTGTGCTGATAGTCAACCAAGTGCAAGGAGAAAAATGTCTATTTTGTATGAGGCTGGCATGCTTCCATTAATAACTCCCGCAGTCTAATAAGAAAGAGTGGGAAGCCCCCCGTCACTCTTGATTTCAAAAAAGTTACTTAATTTCTAAGAAAGAGAACTTCAAAATCAATAAGGATGCTTGATTTGCCTGCTGAAAAAAGGAGCACCATAAACAAACTCTGTATTGTTGCAAAGAAAATAACATGTACATGACTGTGGACTCTCCATTATTTGAGCTTAACTAGAGGGTGGTTTTACTGCCCTCCCCTCCATTCTCATAATCTTGCCAGCTTTGTGCAAACAAGACCTCAACTTACAACTACAACTGGGACCAGAATTTTCATTGCTAAGCAAGGGGGTTATTAAGTGAACCACACACAATTCTACCACCTTTTTTTTTTTTTTTGCCATGGCCATTAAGTGAACCACAGCAGTTATTAAATGCAATCAGCGAATACAACTTTCCCCATTGACTTTGCTTGTCGGAAGCCATCTAGGAAGGTTGCAGATGGCGATCACATGATCTCGGGATGCTCCAGCGATCATACATACACCCCGATGGTCAAGTAGCCCAGAGTTGGAGCATATGACTTGGGATGCTGCGACTGTCATCGATATAAGGACTAGTCAAAAGTCATTTTTTTCAGCGCTGTTGTAACTACGGACAGTCACTAAATGAATTGATATAAATCAAGGACTACGTGGATGAATCCTTTATGGGAGAGGTGTCAAACTTGATTTCATTGAGGGCCGCACCAGGGTTGTGTTTGACCTCAGAGGGAGGGGGGCTGGCCATGGTGGGCATGGCAGCTTGACATCCCTCGTGTTGGGGGCACCTGTGATGGCCAAGTGCTAAGGCAAGACTTCCCTGAGACTCTCCCTTACTCTCATTATAATCTCCTTCCTTCCTTCCTTCTTTCTTTCCTTCCTTCCTTCTTTCCTTTTCTTCTTTTTCCTTCCCTCTTCCTTCTCCTCTCTACTTCCTTCTCCTATTTCCTTATTTTTACTTCTTTGCTCTCTTCCCATCTTCCCTTCTTTTTCTTTGTCTTTCCTCTTTCCCTTTCTCCTTTCCTCTCAAATGCAAAAGGGGAAACATTTCTCCTTTTGTTTTCTTTTTAGTTTGTTTTGATAGCCCTCTGCTAGTGAAAATGGAGTCCGGAGGGGCTGTGTGTGGCCGCCCACACCCCATTTTCACTCATGACGGCCTCCTGCAGCCCTCTGCCAGTGAAAACGGAGCTTGGGGGGGTGTTTTCGCTGGCAGAGGCACCGAGAGTCGGTCCTTTACTGTTTCCAGGCTGGCCCTGTGGGCCAGATCTAAGCACCCCACGTGCCTTGTGTTTGACACCCCTGTTCTATGGCAATGAATAAAAAGACAGGAAAAGTGGGAAGAATCCTGCAGACTTCAGTGTCTGCTTGGATGCCAAAAGGGAGAAGGTTGCAAAGACTGCTGAAGACCTTTCCCACATAGCTCCCATCTGTTCCAGCTGTTAGTCTTTTCCCAAACCCAAAAAGGCTACTTCCAATGGCTGCCACCTTCTAAAGCTGCTTCACATACCTTCTATGATTTCTCTGTTTCTGCATATGGGCTGCTGGAAGGCAGGAGGGGTCTTTCGAGAAGCTGGGAGGTCTTCTCTACACAGCCTGCAATTCTCTCTCTCTGTACATATGATTGGAAATAGTTGGCAGAGGTTTAAAAATGATTCCAATGTTGCATATTCAATAGGAAGTCAGAAAATCCAACTGCCCGGACCGATTATTTCCTTTATTAACTGAGAAGGTTCGCGTAATTCAGAATTAACAAGGAAAGAAGAAATAATGGGATTGCCTTAATATTATTTTAATGGTTTTAATTAAACAACTTTTAACGTTTAATTAAAAATGAGTTTATTAAGCGCTCAACAGAGAGTCTATGGCTTCTCTGCCTAATGATGAGGTCAGCGGCCTGTCTGAGCAAACATGAGCCACCAATCCTTTCCTTGAGGTAGCCTGATTGATGGAACGGTCAAAAACCAAACCAAATCATACCGGGAAATAAATGTTCAAGTTTCATCAGAATTCTTTGAAGCAGAGATTGACCAAAAAGACTATCAGCCTGCAGAGGCAGCATGCAATCAGGCACCTACCCTGTTTCCCCCAAAATAAGACATTCCCCTGATAATAAGCCCAATTGGGCTTTTTAGCGCAGGGCAATAAGGCCAAGCACTTATTTCAGGGTTCAAAAAAATATAAGACAGGGTCTTATTTTCGGGGGAAACATGGTATGTATGACAGCTTCAAGAGATGTTATGCCTGAGCCGATGACAGACCCAATTCTGAAAATAAGGGAAGATGTTCTGGTAGGGCCTTTTAACCTCAAAACATGCTGGCAGCTATAACGGGCTGAACCAAGGCAATTAGGACATCTCTTTGAGAGAAGGGGTAGCATTGCCCCTAATCATAAAACATAAATTGTTTCAACATCTACCTTCAAAATGATGTTGTGGTGATCCCGGGCATGGCACGAAAGCAACACAATAGGTCTAACTCCCCTTTATTGCTCCAACTGTGCCTCCAAATATGCCCACATTCACTACAAGTCCTGGAGCAAAGCTCTCACATGCACCTTCAGAAGCCTCTGGCTGCAAGTAGTCCAGTAAGCCAGGTTAATCAAACAGCAACCAGGGCCAGCAATCCAATAAGCCAGGTTAGCTAAACAGTAACCAGAGCAAGAAGTTCAGCGAAGCAGGCAAACTGGCAAGCCCCACAATACAGAGTACAGCAATCTCCAGGTTTTTGGCAAGTGCACATGAGGCTCCACCGATTCAACACTTGTTCCCGACAAATGCCCCTCCCACCGGCACCTCCTTACATCTCAGTCCCCAGGTGTGCCTTGTGAAAGGGGGTGGGGCACTCTCCTCCCTCGTAGCCAGCTCAGTCTGCATTGATCTCACAGTCTCTCTTCCCTCCTTGCTCTCGGATCAGGAGGGGGGTAG